TGAAGATAGACAAGAAGGAAATGCTTACACATCATTCCACAATCTTTAAATTAATTTATCAAGACTCAACTCCTCGACGAACTAGATAAACTTTATTTATCTCGGAGAAAATGCAAACATTTATTATATTGTTTTATACATAGATGTGTGCGTGCGTGTGTGTGTGAACATATATCGATGGGAATCGATATATTCTTTGTGTATTCTTCTGTGTCTATGTCGAATATTTTTATTGACGAGATGCAGATAGCCGTTACGTCTGCATCCAAAATATTTTGAGAATTGACCAGCGCCTGATAGACAGATTTGCATGAAAGTTGATTCTTACAATATTTTGCATACGGACGTGATATTCATTTATATTTTATCGATGAAAATATCGTAGAAATTTGCTTTCTCTTATCTCTTATTTTTGTCGACAAATCTATGTAGATCACGTTCGTATGCAAAATATTTGAAGAATTATAACTTTTACGAGAATTTTTAAATTCCACTTAAAATTGTATAGGACGGCGTTGCCTGTACTTTTTACAAGTTTTACGAATATGTTGTTTCATTATTTTTTTGACACAAAGAACTTTTTCTTTAAGACGTCATTTTGATCATAGACGTATCAAAAATATAGATCTTGCGATTCTCTATCGGATCGACTGTCAGCCGTTCGCAAGTGAACAATTGCGTTAGCATGAGATAATGAGACCGGCGGACTCACTCACGGGAGATCTTCAACGATATACGGCGGCGTAGGAAGAAGAATTGTCTCTTCCTCTGTCGCGTTCTCTTTTCTTTTTAAATCAAAGTCATCTAGAACTCTGTCGCGTGTCGCTGATGCAAAGCTCGTTCTCTTCGAAGCGCCAACTATGTGGCGGGCAGTCTCTTTTTCGCGTGTATGTCGCGTATATACACGCGTGCATAATGCAAGAGAGAGAGAGAGAGAAGACCCCCGTACAAGGAATATATCTCCTCCGTTCCGCACAGGCCCAAATATATTCACCCAATTATCTCCGCATCGCCCGCATGCCTTCTCCGCGCGCGTCCCTGGTCACGCCGCAACTTTTCCCCTCTTACTCTCTATCTTCACCCCGGCGCATTTGCATGGAATGCATTCATATGAAATCGACCATTCTTCCGCCGACTTCTCTCCGACTGTTTCCTCTTTCTCTTCTCCTCTTTCGTATCCCCACCACGCTCGTGGACGCCTCCGGGCTTTCTTTGCAGAAAGAGAGAGAGGAGAGAGAGAGAGAGATAGAGAGAGCGAGGTAAATCCCACTGAGGATACTCGAGATGTAACGTGCATCGTAGAAAATTGCTTCGTCCGTAATGACGGTGTGTCTCTCTTTCTTCTACTTTCACACGACGACCACGAGATGTTATATAAATTTTTATCTCTCGATATTTTGTGTAAATGTTAATTCTCGTAGATTTATATTTTACACCGGAAAAAAAAAAATTACATATGTTTTTTCATATAATATCACTCTATGTTTAGAAATTACTATATCTTTATAACACGTTGCTTGCTATTCTTCGAAACATTTTTTCACATTTTCCTCTCTTCTATTTCGTTCTCACGTCGCTTTATACATTTGCGCCTTGTTATAGATTATCAATTTTGAAGTTTCATGAAATATGCTACCTCTTTTCTCTCTCTCTCTCTCTCTTATCTATCTCTCTTTCTCTATTTCAACCCGCAAATAGGATATAGGATGATGATCTCACTGAAAACTCGCATCACGCTGCGTTACAACCGCAGAAACGATATGCAATGTAATCCGACGTATGCATGCGCATAATGTTATCGCATAATCCGCATGGTGTATATAAACGGCGAAACTGGAGCATATTATAATGTCATTGCAGCAAGTATCGCAAGAACGCATCACACAATGCAATAACGAAGTGCTGTTAATTATGTTGAAGTACGATCGTTATCGATCGACACTCGTTTCAAATAGACCGGAGTTGTGTATGATAACCTATTTCGATTTTGTCAGCAATGACCAATGTTTTCTCTCTTGTTAATTATAGGCGATAACGCGCGTACGTAAAGCAATACACATGGTAGACACAAGAGCGTTTTGTCAAATATATAAACTTTATATAAAATCTATCACGATGATATTAAGTGAAGAGCTCTACAAACCTGAAAATCTATAACACAAAGAGAGAGAGAGGGAAAACTTGAGTTAAGAGAAAACGTTATCTCTCTTTATCCTGTCATGAGGATTATATCAAAGGAGAAGTCTCTCAAAAGATTTAAAAATTCCAAATAAGACCCCACGAGATGGCTCTAAAATGACCTTGGGAAATGGCTTACTTTCAATTTATTTCCTTATTTCGCTACCGTCAGTTTAAGGCCTCTTGCACAATGCGGATCGTCTCTTCGGAGATCGTCCACGTGCAACAGACGAGAAAAGAAGTCGGGACCCGCTCCCGCATATCCGGACAGGTTCCGAAGGCGGAGAAGTGACTATCGAGGAGATAAGCAGAACAAATGAGTGCTTATGGCACAGAGGAGGGTGGACGATATCTTCACCGTCGTCGTCGTCGTCGTCGTCGTCGTCAGACAGCCAACTGCGTCACAAAGCGGCCAGGACTAAAGAACTAAGGAGATGCACGATAAGAGCGACGGAGGGGTTTGCGATGGAAGTATGAGAAGGAGGGAGGACGGGATTCAAAGACATCGGACGTTTTACGAAGGTGCTGGAGGGATAGCGGAGAAAGTATACGAGGAAAGGACAGAAGGAAGGAAGGAAGGAAGGAAAGAAGATCCTACATCGCGGCAGGGGGTGGCACGACACGAGCAAGCGGTGATGGAAGATGGCGTTTTCTGTTTAAGCGACATCAAAGAGCCTGTCGCAAATTTTCTCTCATCCCCGTCTCTCTCTCTCTCTCTCTCTCTCTCTCCCCCTCCTTCCCCCTGTCTCCTCTCTCTTTCCCGCATGCCCCCGAGGTCATACGCGACCGTGTTCCATCTAGCCGCATGTACGCGTATACACCATGCGTTCCAGGCCGGAGTTCCGGAGTTCCTAGCGGTAGTTTAGAGTGAACCAAAGAATGGTGAACGCGCCATGAGTGGCGGTCGCCGCCACCGCCGCCGCCACCGCTGCCACTAAAAGGGTAAACGTTGGGTACGCTACCGAGGTGAATTTTGGCGAATGTGCGCGAGGAATAATATACAACTTCTCCATCCATCTTCCTTCCTTTCTCTCGAAGCGACACACGAACGTGTGTGTCGCGTACGCGCGCGCGCGCGCGCATTGAACGGATGCTTACGCACAAATACCTACGTATATATTTATGGATTTGCGTTACGTATATGTGTACGTGCGCGCAGGCGCGAGTATCAACGACCTGTACTGAAGAGATAATTAAACTTCCTTCCGATCGCTCTCTCACGAGCCGCGTATAGAGAGGGAGCGAAGTGGTGTCGGGCGATTAAAGTGCATGAACCTACGCGCTCTGTGTTTCTTACTGAGAAATGTTTTTTTTCTTTTTTTTCACGGTACATTAGAGAGATTTCTGCGTTTGAGATTTTTGGATTCTACCAAAATGCGGCTCTCCGAGCCGCGAAGTACATGTGCATAATGATTTATGAAAAAGAATTCGAGTATCATCGTGTTCGATTGCAACACGGATAGTTTTTAAACGTTCTATGTGCCGTGTTAAAAGACATGTGCTAAACAAATTTAAAAAAAAAAACGTTAGTTTTGATAAGTATTTTGCGTAAAATATCTTCATCGAAAATACCGCACTTTGACACCCTTATTTTAACTCGCTGCGTTGGATGAAACATTGGAAATAACGAATTTATCGTTATAATACACTTTCGTTCAAATGTCATTATATCATTATATGCACATCACACCACAATATATATTCATAATTATCTGCTACATTAAACATTAGAATTTCTTGTCAATTTCAGAACAAAACTTTGTTTGTCAACGTTGAAACTGCATTTATAAAAATGTAATCGATTAATCATCAATCAGTGATATATTTTTGCGATGCATTTTCGCGTTAGCATGCCCAATGATTATTACTAATAATGAATAAAAGTAAAGTAGTAAAGAGTATGCTACTATTTACGGATGAAAATAAAAATTTGCGCGGGACATCGACTAATTTAAGAGCGCGACAAATCGGCGGAATGACGGTGACGCGATCTTTGACCCCAAATCAAAAATACAAGTGCTCGACGTCCACTACCGTGCGTTTCTGTCTCTTACTCTTTCTCACCCCCGTCTCCACTCCCTTATCTACCGTCGTGGCGCACGCGCATTGCTACTTCTCTTCTCGGTGTTGCGCCGTTTGGCCTCAAGAAGGGTGGCATTACACGTGCACACATCTATTACATATGTCCGCGTGTATGTACGTGGTATTTCGAAACCTTGTACTTTCAAGTGCAAGCAGAACGAACCGACGATATTGAATTAAATCTGATACTACATGTGTGTCTTTAGTTGCTATTTTTTTCCCCGCCGCTTAAGTACACGCGATTCATGTGACAAATTTTGTGCGCGCTCTTCTCGCTATTTGTTTCAAAACCAACATCAGTTTCGATAGAGTTAAATACGCTAATTTGATGATAAGAATGATATTATTTTGACATTTATATGGAATCAAAACTATTGCAGCTTGATATCCGGATGGACAATATATTCGACGAGTATATTAGAAAAGCGGATCTTCCGTCTCGTTGTTTTTACGTGTCATACTGGAAATGTGTGTGTATATTCGCGCTATATCGACTATCCCAGCGCGACCCTTGTTGAAGGCGCATCACCAAGAGCGAACGATTCGAGTAGTGATCTGAACCCTCCGCGTGGCGGCGCTATGTTAGCCCTCACGAGGGTCGCAACTCCGAAACGAGGGGTAAGTCAGCGGCTCGAAGGGAAGAGAGGGTTGATGAAGCGCGTGGGCGCACGCGCCGAATCTGGCCTCGCTGATGGTGGGGACGTTCAGTGTCATTTCGTGCCGGGCGTTGCGGCGTCGTCGACCCTTTCAGTCTTTGATCCGTAGTTGCTTCGTTCGTGTCGTCGTCTTGTGCCGAGCGTATTCCTCATTCGCAGTCGAATAATCACGCACGGTGTCTTCTTCGCGATCAGCCAGGAATTAAAGATCTCCTGCTTTGACATTGTGTCCGATTGCCGGACAAGATCAGCGTAAACCTTTTCGATGACCTGGTATTGCACACAAATCACATGCCGTCGGAATTGTAAGAGTTGACACAAGTTCAGTTGGAGGCGTTCTCTGTACTCATGGGACATTCGTGTCGTTGCGAGTCTACAGTCGGCGATTCTTCCGCAAAAGTCGACAACTGAAAGCACTTTGGAGCTCTCCGAGGATCAACATCACGGTCGAGATAACGTGAAACTTTGGCAACGGGAAATAACGGGACGCAACTTAACGCGCGAATCGCAAAACAACTGGACGATCGACCTGGCGGAAAGTCGAAACAACGCCGCGGAAGTTCTTTTCTCCGTCCGTTTTCGCTTAAAGCCCGGGGATTTTCAGGACTGGTTTCAGCTCCACACTCTCCGCGCAGGATTTGTGTGTGCGGTTCTCGGCCCGCTGACCCAATTAGTTTTCGAGCACCGACGGTGCTCATAGCTAAGAGAATACTCGCGCGCCCACACAGAGAGAGTGCAGCTGATCGCAGTCTTCTGAAACGCGCAGATTGAATTCTCCGACGTGAGCTTTGCGTGCCGAACGTGTTCCCTTTGACGTGTGTCGGAATTCGTTGTGCGCGCGACTCCATCAGGCTGAAAGCCACGCTCGCGCGATATCATTCGGCGCTACAACAGTTCCGAAGAGGGCACGCGCCGCGTCACTTTTACGGGGATTCAATAATTCTCGTCCAAGTGACTGAGTGATGAAATTACGCAGCCGATCGAGTTAGTGGTGCTTTTTTTTTTCTTGGTGGAGTGTCGTGAGTTTTGGAGTACCACGGTGTAGCTCTCTGTATATTGGTGAATGAAACATTGAGTATAAGACACACCGCTCCCGTTCGTGATTCGGAGCACGTTCGAGAGCGTTGGCAGAAATCGCACGAGGAGAAACGCCAAGTTCGGGCCACGCTGAATCGCCGTGTCGAACATCGCTCGCGGGCGGAAGTTGAACTTTCTCGCTGGCGTTGACAGATCGATAACAAAGTTTGCGTACGCGAGTTTCTCCCCCTGTCGTCGTGCCCGCCGGCCGCACGAGCGAGTAGCACGGAGTCTGCACAGCACCCTTCGTGCACACACACATATATACACATTTTCTCTCGTTCTCTTTCTTTCTCTTTCTCTTTCTTCGATCTCCTGTGCGCGGACGTGGAATGTGTTTAACATTAAACGACTCCTGCGCGTCCTGAGTCCCCGCGGAGCCAAGCCCGCCAAGCGTTCACCCGTGAACGTCCAGGATCAATGAACTCGCAAACGTGACTGTAGCGACTGTTCGCTCAACGCGTCACCTCGAAGGACGACAACACACCACGTACGACGGTGCGTGCTATATCTTTTGACGCGACACGCGATCGTAGAAACGATCCTATCGAAGGAAACGAGGAGGAAACTGCGAGAGAACTGCCTTGTCGCGGAACTTGGATGCCGAACCTGTGCCGCTCGGCGGAAATCTGACACCCCGACGATCCAACCGTCGTGACAGCCTGTCATTCTCCTTACCGACCAAGGAGTATTTCGTCAAGTATCGCCGGAAAGAGGAAAAGCGACGCGAGAACGCGGCACAAGGCGAACCAAGTGGCAGGGGTTCCTCCTGCCCTAGGCTCGCCCTCGAGGGTGCTAATAAGTGCGCAACAGTGAAGGGCAACGGTGGATTCGGCGATTACTCGGCGGCCGGTGAATTCGAAGTCTGGGGCGACGAGCATCACACCACGGATGGTGGTGCTTTAGACCGTCAGGTGGCAAGACCGCCTTCGCGGCAGCAACGATGCGAAGGCGGTTCTTCCCTGAGACCGTTGCTCCACGTAGCTCATTGTGAGCTGCACTCGCCGCGGGAAGCAGAGCTCCTGCGTCTCGATCATCTCGAGGGCCTCGATCACAAGTCCGTCGAGCACAACGCGTACTCGATGATGGATAATTTTCACAGCCCGGTACCGCCGCCGTTACCACGACGTCACGTTCGGTAAGAGCATATGTTGCCCGATGTTTCGCGCGGTCAAGAAATATGCTCGCGGAATGTCCGAGCTAACTACGTACTGTAACTACGTACTGTAACTGTACGAAAACTGTCAATTTCGTGAAAACTACTCGATCGATCTGATTTGTCTTGCAAGATTTGCTCAATTATAACGGCATTGTCTAAACAATCCGTGAATATCGAAATTTAAATTTACTATTTTCTCGTCATTCGCGAAAAATGCTACTTCCAGAGTGTTCGATATTTTCCTCGTTTAAATTTCTATTATGGCGTTTTAGCAAATAACGACGTTCATTAAAAGAATCAGATTTAATCGACTAACGGCGACGTTATTCGTATTTATTATTCAAATTCGCTGCTTTTAAATTTATACCGTGCACGCATTGAGAACCGATCGATATCAATGTGCGCGTCGAATCGATCTGTCATTAACTCCATCTCCGTCAATTCGTCGAGGTTTGCTATATTTCGGATGGACGGTGCGGGCTCTGTTGACCCGCATTCGACATGACAAGTCGCGGTCTTTCTCGTCATCTTTTCTTTTCTCTCGGCGTCTGATATTCGGTTTCCAGATGTAACTGCGAAATCGAAGCGTTTTGCCACACAGAACGTCGAACGCAATCTTCACCGTTCTCTGTGTATTCTCGTGGACAAGCCGAAAGCTCGCGCGTCTTGGTTTTATAGGTTGCGCCTTATATACACCTTGCGATCGATACCGAACGACCGGAAGGTGCATCGAAGACTCGCGAGCAGCAACGATGCAATTTGAGGATAACATCTATATTGTTTTCTCGAAATATTGGAAAGCGCCGGGATTCTCCGGAAAGCTCGGTTTCTGATGTCGCGTCATTTCGGCGCGGCCAACAACCTGTTCGCCACGCGATAACGAGCGCGACTGAAATATACCGCATATATGTGTGTGTGTGTGTGTGTGTGTGTTCGTATCGCCGAGCACGTATCCTGAGACCTTCCCAATTCTACAGTAACGCCCGTGAAGTATGCAAAGTGGCGCATAAATTCACGCGGCACACCGTAATTAAAATTAACGCAAAGCGGTCCGACCGCGCCTCCATTGTAACTGCACGCACACACACACCTATTCACACAAGTGCATTCGCGTCGGAACGTCATAATGTCTCTGAGAAACCTCTTGGAGGTTTCACCGCGCCCTTTACCGTAGCTTGATGAGCGGTGCAAAATATGCAAGGCAGGGGAGGAAGGAAAACGTCTGTCTCCGTAGCCGCGAGCGGCACAAAGCAAATAGGCGACGAAAGTAGCAACGTCTAGAACCGAGAAAATCCGGTCCACACTCTGAGCCTCCCCTTCTCCCTCAAGAGCAATCAAAGCGGTCCGGAAATCCGCGCGCGTTAATGCCGGCAAGCGCGGTTCGCCTCGGCTCGTAGAAAACACACGGTGTAATCCGACGGATTCTGTTGTCGCGCGAACGAGACTCGTGAGACGAAATGCAACGCGATATGCGATATCGCGCGGTATGTGCAAGAGAGGGCGAGAGCGCGCGATCGATATAATACACGCACGGAGCGGGAAAAGAGAGAGAGAGAGAGAGTAACGTACGTGAGTAAGGCAAGCGCACGCGACGACGCAACGGCCCGTCGCGGAAACGGCAAACAAGGTGATATCCGAAGAGAGGAAGCCGTAGCGAGGGCGGCAAAGGAGCATGGACGAGAAAGACGACGGAAAAAGGAGAGAGTGAAGAGACGGGGGAGGAGGGTGACTCGAGAGAGAGTACGTCGAGTATGTAAAAGGCAGCGGGCGCGGGGCGGCTGCACGGCGCCGACATTTCGCGGTGAAGCAAGCGACCCCATAGCCATGCATCACTCTGTCCTACCAACAACTACTCGCTATAGCTGTACCTCCGCTGATTCTCCTCCCATTCTCTCGTAACTTCACTCTTCTCTCTCTACTTCACTCTTCTCACTCTATCTCTCTTCCTCTTCCTCTTCCTCTCATCGTCGCGCTTTGTCACTTCCGCCGCGAACCGTTCTTTCTCGTTTCGTTCCGTTTTCCGTCCTCGCGTTTTTCCACCTTCGGTAGCGCTTTTTCGCTTCTCTCCCGCGGCGTCACTGTCTATCTTTTATCTCTTTCGTGAGTGCAGCTACGTCTCTCGACTATTTGTGCCCCGGTTTTCTCTCGCTAGAGTACGACCGCCTCGGTTGGTTGCCTTTCCACCACTTTGCCCATGTTGCCCAACGTCGAGATTCTTCTTCGCGTACACGCTGGGGAACACACGAAGGCACCTATTGTTTGTCGTTCGTCTCGTAATCTCGATACGTATTCGCTCGGAATCGGGGAGCTTATTGGCGGATGTAATGCGAGCGATGCGCGACGCCGCTTGTTGTGAACGATGACGCAGCGCGCGCGCGGAGACAAGCGATCGGAGAAGCGGAGCGAGCTTCTTCCGTAGCGCGGGTAGGCAGCGTAAAGAATGGAAATCGTATTTCCATAATATCCTAAACTGCTTCCGCATCGGTGAAATGCGAGCGAGACGCCGAGTGAGAGAGAGAAAGAATGTCGCGAGAGGAGGATCTTGGGCGAGCGATTTCCATCGTTCGATATTAGCCGACTGTAGCGTAACGCCGGAGACGCAGCGGTTTTTCACGATATGAGGGTGGAGCGGCGAGAGGGTCGCGAGGGGACGATAGGTACTTTTCGCACGAAAGAGAGAGAGAGAGAAAGAAAAGGAGAGAGAGAGAGAGAGAGAGAGAGAGAAGGAAAGTGCACGGAGAATTCTCTCGGTAGAGATAAGGGTTTTACATTCTATGTTACGCCACATGGATGAGCGATGGTACGACTTCTCTTCCCACCGGAATATTCCACTTACCGGGATATTGGTACACCGATGATATTTCTCTATGCGCGGCGCGCGGCGAACACGTCCGATACATCGGCGTGACAAATCGTGTTCTAGCTGATTGTGAGTTCTCGCATAATTTTTTTTTATACAATGTATCCCGGATGATAATAGAAATAATGTATTCCGTCAATCATATTTACACATTGCTTAGACTAGATAATATATATATATATATAGGGGCTGTATAAATCGGACAAAAAATTATCACACAAAACGTAAAGAATATCAATAAGGTGTATTTTGCCGAATATAATGTGAGCGCAACCTAGCGTTTTAGCTAGCGGAAGTAATATCTCGAGCAATTATTTCCTTGAGAAAAAACTTCATGTCAAGTATCTAAAGTGTACACCCCAACTCACTGGCATTTCTTTTCTAAGGAATTACAATCAATTCTTTCGCCTATTAAAAGATAGAAACTTTTTTATACTCACTCAAACGACTTCATTATAAAGGTCATATTCAATATCAGAGACATGCCATCTTCGGAGTTTCACTTGACCTAAAACCCATCGTCTTCTAAATGAAAGTTGCTCGGAATACTCGAGGGATGCAAGCGCAACCACTTCCGTTCTTCTCTCTCTCTCTCTCTCTCTCTCTCTCTCTCTCTTTCTCTCTCCCACGGCGCTGATGCCGTAAACAAAAAGAGCCATGGCAACATCGAAATTCCCACTGGATTCGAAGCTGGTAACGATCGATCCGGCTCGACTTCGTCTCGCGGTCTCGACGCGTGCTAGCGTAATGCTCTGCGTCACCATTAATTAGCAAGATCAGTTCGTTGCGATACGGTTATTAGCAACACCGTTTCGCGTGCGCAGTGAAAACACATCGTCACTCATCGCGCGAAGCAAAACCCGTCTGCCGTGAATTGATACACGAAAACAAACTGAACGCAGTTTCTGTTCTGAGATACATTATCGCGCCATATGTCGGGCTGCTCGGTAAGAGACAAGATGTGTCCTTAAAAGGGGAACTCGAAAAGCCGAGAACGTGTAAACAACACCCTCGCCTCGCATTTATTTGCCCGTTCCGTCAAAAGCGAGGGAAGTCCCTGAACGCCCGTTGCAATTCGTGGGAGACGGCAATTCCGGAAAAGCGCCGCAAACCGCCCGCGTCTTTCGGGATAGGCTTCGTTTCCTGTTACAAGTCCGTTAAGACGGGACGGAATTAACCGCGCGACGATTCGAGGGGTCGGGAACGCTTTATTACACCCGTTGCTTTTGATGACGCGTGCAGGAACCGACAAACACGGGAAGGTTGATTTCCAAGACGAATATGCGTTAATTGCGGGAATGTACAAGAGCATCGATCAACCGTCACGCTGGTAAAATTGCGACGCGCGCTAGCTGTGAATCCGGGTTTTGTCGTCACGTTACGACGATTTATTATGCGCGCGTTTGTTGAAACTCCCGGTATGCGGTGCCCTTTAACGTTTCACGCGAGGCCGAATATGAAAGGAATGCGCGAGATACAATCGGAAGATGCAGTAACGAAATTCTTCATTTGCTGGCTGTAAATAACAACGCGTTAGATCGCGGAAATTTCGCACGTCTGTCTAGCGACAATTTTTGAAAACAACTCACAAGGGCCAAGAATAAGGGTAAGAACTCGAAAATTACGGAGGGTTGGATGTATGCGTAACTGCATTACTACCCCTTTCCTTCGAGCGTATTTGCGGCGAATCTCTCGACGTCGGGAGTACTTCCGGAATATCGAAGCGAGTATACACACACGTATATACGCCGTCGCTTCACTTACCCGCGCGGCTCAGACGCAGTCTCGGCAATTGATAGGTAGTCACGCTAGGCTGACCTCAAGGGACATCAGTTCGTGTGTAGCGCATCGCTTCCACCGCCGTTACTTCCCTTCTCGACTCTACCTCTTACCTAACCTAAAATTTACACCCCAGACCGGGTGTTCTCGTTCGTAGCTTTCGTGCGCGCGCGAGCATCTCGTATCTTTCGCTTACAACTACGCTTCTACAAATCGCTCCTCCTCGTTCACCCTTTCTATCGCTTCTATTTCTTTCCTTTTTCCGCGTTGCTACTTTCTACATTCCGTCTCTCTTCCTTCTCCTTCAGCTTCCTCGCCACTGTCACTTTTTCTTTTTTCT